GAGAATCACTTAAGCCTAAGAGTTGGAGGTTGCTGTGAGCGTGATGCCACGGCACTCTACCCAGGGGGACAGCTTGAGGCTCTGTCTCAAAAAAAAAAAAAAATAAAAAAATAAAATGTGTTATTTCTATGTTTTATTTTATTTTTTTCTTTTGAGACTCTCACCATGTCACCCTCAGTAGAGTGCTTTGGCGTCACAGCTCACAGCAACCTCAAGCTCTTGGGCTTAAGTGATTCTCTTGCCTCAGCCTCCCGAGTAGCTGGGACTACAGGGGCCCACCACAATGCCCGGCTATATTTCTATGTTTAGACAAAGGTGCACCTTTACCTTATATGTGCACATAAAACTTGATTAAATTAATACATCTGATAAAAGATAGGACATAACATACATTTTGCAGGTATCCAAAATCATGAAACTGGTACTCACAGTTCTCAGACAAATCAACATGTTCCAAGTAATTCTTTTCTTTAATTATAATTAACTCAAAATAGATCACAGGCCCAATGTGGTAGCTCTTGCCTGTAATCCAACACTCTGGGAGGCTGAGGTGGAAAGATTGCTTGACATAAAGTGTTCAAGACCAAGGAGACCAACCTGAGCAAGAGTGAGACTCCATCTCTACTACAAATAGAAAAACTAGCCAGGCTTTGTGGCAGGCATCTATAGTCCCTGCCATTCAGGAAGCTGTGGCAAGAGGCTTGCTTGAACCCAGGAGTGAGAGATTGCTGGGAGCTAGGCTGTGGACATGGTACTCTAGCCTCATTGACAGAGTCAGACTCGACAGACAGTAAAAACCAAATCAAACCAAACAAACCCCTCCCCCAAACAGATCAAAGATCCAAATATGAGAAAACTATGAAAGTCTTAAATTCTTCTGTTGCAAATGATACCATCAAGAAAGGGAAAAGGGGCTCGGCGCCTGTGGCTCAAGTGGCTAAGGCGCCAGCCACATACACCTAAGGTGGCAGGTTCAAATCTAGCCTGGGCCCGCCAAACAACAATGACGGCTGCAACCAAAAAATAGCCAGGTGTTGTGGCGGGGGCCTGTGGTCCCAGCTACTTGGGAGGCAGAGGCAGG